AGAGAGAGAGAGAGAGAGAGAGAGAGAGAGAGAGAGAGAGTAAACACGACTCTGGGGAGGAAGTGGGAGGGCAGGACAAAAAGAGAAATTGAAACTGGATTTCTCTGCTTCGTATTTTAATAATACTGTTTTGAAAAAAATATACTGGAATTAAGAGAGGATTTCACTTAAAAATATCCCTGTCCATAGGGATTACAAATGGCAATTGAATCATAAGTGCAAAGTGGCCTTATTAGGAATTCATCCAAGAATATTGGACACCTCTGGGAACCCTCCAAGAGCATGATAAAGTACAATACAGCACCTAGGATACTTTCTCACCTTAGGAAAACTTCTAGGTTGTTAAACTAGTTTAAAACACTGTTTTTTTCTTACGAACAGTAAAAACCAGAACAGATTTATTCTACTTTATAATGAAGTGTAACATATACTTCTTTGTTTTCTTCTTTGTGGAAACAAAGCTCCTTGAGAAGTTATTCATTTTCTGAGCAGAGTGGGAGGAGATCCAAGTGAATATCCCTATGTGACTATGTTAAAGAGCATATGGGAGCCGGTAGAGGTGCAGTGTGAAATCCATGGCAGAGAGAAAAGAAAAGACTAAAATACATCTTTTTCATATAAATATATAACAACAATCAATTTTAAATGAGGCCATAAATTTAAAAGAGAACATGGAAAGGTATATGGGAGGGTTTGGAGAGAGGAATGGAAAGGGGAAATGATGTAATTATATTATATCTCAAAAAGAAAACAAAAAAAAATCCTTGTCACTCAGTATCTTCATCTTTAGGAATTCCACATGGCACCAAACCAAACACAATTCAAAAATGCAACTTTGTTTCCCTGTCAATATGAAGTTATAATTCTCTCATGGTTTTCAAGTGAATTTCAACAAAATAACTGCTGTGGACAGAGTAATGCTTTTATGGACTAGCTTACTGATTCAAATGCAGGGATTCAATAGGATTTTTACTGGAATACTGTGGCGTTAATCATTGAAGGAACACATAGTCTTTGTTGGTGCTATTTATTTAGCATGAGGAAAGAGTTTAAAAACAATAAAGAGTTACTAGAATGATTAAAGTTGAAGAGAAAACCAGAGTAACAGCTTCCTATTCCTATTCAAACATCCACCTCCATCAACCTCAAATTTCCAATGTTGAAAGTGCTTTTAATTCTGACAGATAACCAATATGGTTCAAATAGTGCTAGATAACCACCCAAAGATTATGTATGTTAGATGCACATTTAAAGTTATTTGACATTATAACCTCACATAAAAAATAAGAAATCAGTAATTTCATTTTTCATCAATAGTTACTTTCTGAATACATGATAATATTTAATGCAGATTGTGTCATGCATTGTCCTAAGCATTTTATGGGTACTGAGTCATTTACTTGTGGAAAAATTACTAAATAGTAAGTTAGTGACACTTTTATTTCCCCACCATAGACATAAAAAGAATCTCTAAGACTTTAAGTAACTTGTCCAAAGATCCACAACTCTGGAGTGATGCAGCTGTGATCCTAATCCCTATGGAGCTTAGAAATTAATCAGAAGACAAAGTCACTGTCCATAATCATCCCCAGGAGAGACTGTTTTGTAAGTGTTCAGTAAGAAATAGTGATTAAATAAGATTCAACACTTCAATCCAGAGTGATTTCTTAATCTATTATTAGATCATTATTATTATTATCATTATAGATTTATTTTTGTTTTATATGTATGAGTATTTGATCTATGTGCATCACATGCATGCAATGCCCATAGAAGCCAGAAGGGGGAATGTGACCCTCTGGATCTGGAGTTATAGGTGGTTGTAATGCCATGTGGGTGGTAGGAACAAAACACAGATCATCTGCAAGAGTAGCAAGTGTTCTTAACAGTGAGTCACCTCCCTGTCTCCCCAGATCCATTATTTATCATCATCCTTGTCCTCATCATTGTGAGAGATTCACTGTGTATCCCTGGTTGTCCTTGAAGTCACCATATAGATCAGGCTGGCTTCAGACTCATAGACATCTACCTGCTCCTGCCTCCAAAGTGCTGGTGTTAAGGGCACTCACCACTATGCCTGTCCAATAGTGAAATCAGAAAAATGACATTTATTCAGAGTGAGTACATTGGCAAGAGGGACAAAGCTACTTAACCACATCCTCCAGCTAAGTTCACATTGATAGCCCTAACAAGAAGCAATTTTTAAATATGTATATGCCATGAGAAAGTGACTACGTCTTTAAGTGAATAACCTCAATATCAAGAAACAATGTCTTATGAAATCAAAGTTTATGTGTAGAAGCAAAACAAGCTTTCAAAGGAAATACAGAAATGATGGGAAAGTTGGGTATTTGTCATTCTTTGGAAAATACATTAAAGCCAGAAAAACAAAAGGTGAAAATAAGGAGTCCTCTTGAATATTTTTTTCCAATTAGTGATATCATTTATTGTAAGGTTATAACACTGGGAATGGTAAAGGCAGGAAATCAAAACTGCTGTTTGGCTAAGTTGTACATGAGTGACCCATTGCAGACATCTAAGCAATAATGTTGGTTAGATGGACACCACCTGGAATCAGCACTTGATGTGGGAAGCAGATTTGCAGTGCTATAACTCAGTCTATCTTGAGATTCCTTAGTTTCTGGTGCTGTTTGAAGCAACCCCCTGCCTAGGAAGATAATGTAGCCTGGACAGAGAAACATTTACAGCTCTTATCCAAGAAGGAAAGAAGAGGGACTACAATTCCAAATACAGTGGTGAAATTTTTACATCTCTTCAATATTTAAATATCAGCCCTTTTAGTAGAACCAGTAAAAGGCCCCATATCCTCCAAATAGCCTTGTAACTAAAAATCAGAATGCTGATTATTCTGTGAACACAAATCTTCTTCCACTTAGTCTTCATTGTGAATGGTGTCAAGTAACAGTGTATACCCTAGGAGTGTATGCATTAACATTCACACTACCTTCTAGGCTTTGCTTCTGTTTATACAATTGGTGACATTTTACACATTTATGACAATACCGTAGAACCACTTTCTCAAGGTTTTTGAATGAGTATGTTTCTGATTATATCAGTTTTTGGCTTAAATTAAGTTCCTTATCATGATAGCCAATACAATGTGTGTTGACTGAAATAGAATTAAAAAAATAGTCACTACATAGTAGTGAGTAACTATCATGATAGTACAGTTAACTGAGCATACATACGTGCTAGCAATTTATATGTTATCACACATTACCTTACTTACACATTTCCACTTGACAGAAGAGGTGGTGGAAACCTGACATAAAGTCTACACAATGAGGAAAAGACTGGCTGCTCACAAAAATCTGGAGCCTATAATCCATGGGCATTTCATTAGACTTCACTTCCCAGTCTTGTTCTTGGTTAATTGTTAGTCCTATCAGTGGGCTCTAGCCTTGGAATGTTGGAGAAAGTGGTCTGTGATGGCTTTATTTTTAGTCCTGGTCCCTAAAAACCTGGGCAGTCCTCAATGGCATGTGTGGTCTTCCCAGGTATGGGGCACACCTCACAGTATGTATGCTGAATACACTTCTTTGCCCTTCAGTCCTGGCTAGCCTTGAGATTTTCTTTAAGTACTCAGATATGGTAGGAGGTGGTGCTGTGACAAGTCTAAGTCATAAGAAGTCCCAGTACATCTTCTATCTTAGGGCCCTTAAGTCTCCATAACATAAATGTAACTACTGCATTCTAAACATTATCTATAGAAAGAGCCATGAAGAGACCACACGGAAAACAGAAAAGACTTGCTTGTCCAGTGTGTCAACTAAACCCAACCCTAACTAATCTCCCAGATGAATGGAGTCTTCTAAGTGAACACTGTCAAGTTCACAAGAACTATCTAGTTGAACTCAACCCATGTTACAGAACCAATGGTGGCTGATTTAATCCACTAAGGTTTGCAGTGTTTTGTTTGTTGCACATTCCTCTGTAACCAAATCAGAAATCTCTTGTCTTGAAAATGGTAGAGTCAATCAGTGTCTTTAAGTCTTTTTGTACCATGCATCATGATTACTTTTAGAACTGAAATGAGGAATAAATCTTCATTGAGAGATCTGGATATGTGTCTGAAGGATCTCCTACTACCCATGCTGCCCTATGTCCTCATAAATAACAGGCTTCACCAATCTGGATCTGCAGCACCCCCTCACCACATATCTTCCTCATATTCCTTCTCTTTTCATATATCCTTGGAAACAGAGGTAGGTGATCAAGGAGATAGTAAAATAAAAAGTGATCTTTATGTATTGCTTTACAGAGCATGTGGGGAATCCTTCAATGATAGAGCAAATTAAATGCATTTTGGCATCCTTCAAAGTTGTAACAATATAAATTCAATTATTAGAAATACATAGTGTTTTTATTTTTCAGAACTGGAACTGAATTCCAAAATGGTATGAGTAAATTTCATTTAGATTACAACCATTACTGCTAGATCTTTTGTTGGTCTGCTTAACCTCCTTTGACAGGTAGCATTCAGTTGGCACTTAGTTGTGAATTACTTTAAAGCTACACCTAAAACTATAAATTGTGAAGGATTTTTCTGGTTATCTATTCCTTTAACGAGATCAGTGAAAATGTGGCATCTTTTAGGTTAATCCTTTGGATTGCTGAGAATGTCCAGAGGCTTTGTGAGCAGCAAATGGTTCAGAAGATTCTGCTTTCCCTCACTGCTGACACTTGCTTCTTGAACTGTACCTGCTCGTCCTCTCCTCTTTCCAGGCACCCTGACTTTGATCCTATTTCTAGTATTCTCCTGTGGCTCTTATGATTTACCTCCAGGAAGAATAATGGTTAGCCAGTGAAGTAAATCATTAGGTAGCTAGAATGTGAATCTGAAAG